CCTCGTATGTGTGTGTATATATATATATATATATATATATATATACATATTGTCCAACTGAGGCCTAGAACTTTCTACAAACCACAAGACACTATGATGTAACAATACTAACTTAAGGTGACAAGAAAAAGGTTCGAGTAATGTGATGTCAATTTACAACAGTTGAACTACACACACAATGTACGACTTACTGAGTTACATAACACTTTTATACCAATCAACCTTCAACACTCTTGTGATGAAAGCTACATAATCATTAAATATTAGATCACTAAATGAAATAAATAATAACTTTTACACTAAACAGTCTTTAGCACTATAAATGCAGAAATGAAAGCATATGGTTAATCTGAAAGATGATGTGTAAGAACAAGGATCTCTCTGAAGAATGATAGATAATGTCCATTTAGCAGTACCATCATTATCAGAGACTGTTTTTTTGATCAGCTGTCCAAAAGCATCTACCTTCAGAGCATACCTACAATAGTGATTGGAAGGAGTACATCTGTCATGATAAAAAGCTGTGTCCTTCATCTGCTGGTAACAGATGGAGAGAAAAGATGATTAAGCAGGCTTGTAAAATGCAACAGAGATTAGACATTATCCTGGTTGATAGTTTTCTTTAAGAGCATCTCAACCACTACTAATTCTGTTGTATCCAAGCCAGCTTGAAGAGCTCTGGTATTGGGCAAAAGACCTCATTAGCACTGGATGTAACAGATGTTATTTTGTTCATATATTACTATAAACTCTTCTTTACATTCCCTCAGAAGTTCTTATAGTTACTGTTTTGATTTTTACCCATTGATGCTGTGGCTGCTTAACCTGCTCGTAGATCAAGAAGATTAAGTTGCTAATTTGTCAATTTTTCTGAATGATGAGCAGGTTAATGGAAGTACTAAACAACTGATGTTAAATAATAATAAGATATATTGTTAAGGTTCTTTACCATAATTCTGACATGTAGTGACTTAAGTAAATATTACACTTCATTAACTTAATTCAGTTCACACCAAAACAATTGCTATTCAAGCAGTTTGCTAATATAAGTATTGTCTCAACCACTACTAAGTTTGTCATATCTCAGCTGGTCTGAAGATCTCTAGTATTGGCCAAGAGACCTCATTAGCACTGCATGTAGCAGATATGGTGTAATTGACATATTACTATACACCCTTATTTATTTTCTTTCAGGAGTTCTTATTAATAATTATAAAATCAAAATTGTGATGGCTAAGTATTAAATCCTGCTTGCCAACACAAATTATTTCAAGTTTAAAAATTCCAAAATTAATAGATATACTAACACTTGTCACTGAAAGATTGCTATGCCTAATGCTTTGTCCACAAACAATGAAAATTATGTTTGTTTAAAAACAAAAACTTCTGATCACCATGTCCAAAGTAATCACATTTGTTTGGCCAACAATGAAACTACTAAACAACCATATATTCAGAAATTCTTTTAATATTACCATCTTGGTGTCAAGAATCAATGTGGCTATCTTCAGATTGTCAGTCCATTCCAGTCTCCCAGTCATACTCTGACCTTGGTTTTAGTACTGACCATTACCTAGTCAATCAGAATCAGTCAGAATGTACATTCTGTCTAACATTTCAAAACAGATATATGTAGATATTCTATCTATTAAGCTCTATAAATTTGATGTTTACTAGTTGATTAAGTTATAAACTTTTAAACAGAACTATCAAAACCTAGTTGTTGTTTTAGTTATAGTCTGTGTCATGCTAAGTCCAGGCTATTGTCACAGTAGTAGATCATCCAACTTAAGGGTCTTAATAATGTAGCAAGTCAGTAATATTGTCTTTAAAATTTGAAAATGGCAGCTTAAAGTCTTGATTTTCTTCAGACTCTTCTAGTTCAGACCTGGTATCCTACTACAGTTGCTACTAATTCAAGATGTCAGAAAGAACTGCTTGCTAAGTACCTGTGTGATACAGCAGATGACTTAAACACACTTCCAATGCAACTCCATGATTTTGGTTTTCGTGGATGCTCCTCAGTAGAGGTTTGTGATTTATGGGGTTTTTATTCTCTACTGTGAAACATTTCTAGATGGTGACAAATTTCAAGGGCAAAATTATGAATATAAAGTATCATATGTTTATCAGTTCTAGTGTGGTAACTTATATTTGCTATAAACTTTAAAATTGTTAAGCTTTTCATAATATTTCTAGAAGCTGTTCAGTTCATCTAAATTCTAATCTGACATGAATATGTAAACTCGTGGTACAATAGTATTGTTAATATACGTATACAAGTTTGTTTGATTCCTTCATTTCTAAAGGTGGTAAAAGTTTGTTTTTAGATTTGTGCACTAGTTCCTGTTAAAAAAAAAAAGCATAATATATAAAGGTTTATGCCAGGGTTTTGGAGCTTCTAAATGCCAAAGTTTTTTGTTGTTTTTTAAGCTGGTTATGCTATTAATACTAGCATGTTTTTATTTTTCTTCCTTTATGCTGCATCAGTCAGCAGCCATAGGAGGAGCAGCTCACATGGTGAACTTTACATCAACAGACTCAATAGCTGGTCTACTGCTTATTAGAAATTACTATGGATGTAATATGGCTGGGTTTTCCATTCCTGCCACAGAAGCACAGGTTGGTTCATAAACAGAAATTTAGCTTGAGTAGTTTTACTATAAGTGATTATTCATCATTAAAATTTAATACATTGTTGTTCATCCATCTCAAAACATTATATGAGAAAAAATGGATTTACACATGAACCTAAATGACTACACAAAAAATTGACTTGGGCCTTTTTTTTTAAAGTGATACAAAAATAAATGTTTAAGTATATAAGCAACTTCATAAAATTATGATTTTACTTACTGCTGTAACAATGAGAATTTAATCCAAGAAAATCTTTCTCTCTCTCTCTCTCTCTTCTTTTTTTTTGTGTGTGTGTAAATTGCTGTCCTCAGCACTATGACAACATGGGGTGTGTCTGGGGAAGTAGAAGCTTGTCGTAATATGCTAAACCACTTCTCCTCAGGAACTCTAGCTGTAGTTAGTGACAGTTATGATGTGTTTAATTGCTGTGAAAATATCTGGGGTACAGAGTTAAAAGCTGCTGTCGAGGCCCGAGGAGAACAAGGGGGTGTACTAATCATCAGGCCTGACTCTGGGGATCCAGCCACAGTGGTGTTAAAGGTCAGTCTACTTATGAGTGATAATAGTTATTGAGAACTTAGTTTATTTCTTTAAATTTATGTGTTCTTTCTTAATACAACTTCAGCAGGTTCTCTACAGTATCTGTATGTGAATTATCATAATCTTTTGTGTTTCTTCAACAGTGTTTGGTATAATTTGTGATAAAAAAGATCTTTAATTCCATCTGGTAAAAATATATATAGTAAATCATACAAGTTTGAACAAACTAAGTTTCACATTTTCGTTTTTCTTCTGAGTGAAAATTATATATCATAACCATGTTCCAAAATGGATCAGTAATAACAATTAAGTGCTTAAATGTTAACACTTGGTATTTACCAGACTAACAAAAGAAAGTATTGAATACATTAAAAAACGAAAAATTTAGAAGAAAACATAAAGTATGATGTTAAGAATGAAGTTTTCAAAAAGCTGAAGAGCTTCTTAACAAGCATGGAAAACAAGTAGACAAAAATTTTTTCAAAATTTTATATATGAAATAAACACTATAGTTAACTTGGAAAAAACAAAATTCATAAATTTTGGTCCTAAATTTATCCAACTTTAATATATGAAATAAACACTACAGTAAACTTGGAAAAAAAAAAAAGTAATACTTGCAAAACACGTACCACTTGAGCATGTGACCATCATGGGAAAGCAAGACAAGTTATTTTTGTAAGATAGTAATAGCACAAAAAAAAAAAAGCTTTGTTTGTTTACTTAAATATAAATAGATTTTGGTCTTGTGTGATTAATGTAAATGTCTTGCTTATGTTATCAGCAGTATATTTGTGAAAAGTCAAAATACATTAATTTATTGTTGTTTAAGCAGGGTTTAAAATTGAAATTTTTCCACTGGCCTGTGTCAAGCAATATATAGAAGGTCACATTGTCCTATATGTACATGCCCAGCAGGTCAGTCCATTGTGGATGGCAAGAAAAGTTAAAATGAATAAGACATTCATAATACACTGGTGAAGCTCAACACAATTTTAGTGCACTATCTTGACAAGTCATATGTATCTCCACTTTGAAAGCAGATACAATTAGTTGCAAAGAAGATATTCTAAGTTACAAAACTATATACAATTTGCCAGTCAATCCCAACTTTTTTTTTTTTACATTCACAGGTTTTGAAATAGTGGTTTGTCAACTGCTGTTCTTTTACTTTGAGTGTTATATTGAATAGAAATCATACAAACACAGTGCAAATGGCATTAAACCACCAGTGAACATTGGTAAATTTTTATGAAACGATGATGAAACTACTAGTGTTCACTTAACATTTTAGCTTGATATTTTGTTAAATATACCATTTGTTGAAATTGGTAAATATCTGATAGTGTTCGTTAATAAATATGAAACTTTGTTATTTGTTTATAGAATGACATAAAAATAATCTAATGTTCATTAAAAAAATTCATCATCCTGCACTTGTACACCAATTTGCTACCATATTCACAAACTCTAAATAATTTTACTTGATGTCTTATTATGGAGAGATATTTTGTTTTTTTTTCAATGGACATAATGTTATACAAATATATCATTAAGAGCAAAAAGAACACCACCAAAAGCTATGAATTAAAACCTCAGGACTCTAATTACTTGCAAAGTATTTATACATTCATTTACAGTGGAAGTTGACTGTAAAATAAAATGGCCAAAAGAAACACATCTGTGAATTTTGAATGAGCTCTGTTTGGAATTATGTTCAATAATATAAAAAAAAGTTTCATTTTTTCGCTTATTTCTTTCCTATTTTTCAATAGACTTGGCATGGCCTGGTGGTTAGGGAGCTCGACTTGCAATCTGTGGGTTCGAATCCCTGTCACACCAAACATGCTTGCCCTTTCAGCCGTGGGAATATTATAATGTGACAGTCAATACCACTATTCATTGGTAAAAGAGTAGCCCAAGAGTTGGCAGTGGGTGATGTTGACTAGTTGTCTTCCTTCTAGTCTATCACTGCAAAATTAGGAGAGGCTGATGCAGGTAGCCTTCTAACATTCCTATAAGTAATTAGTATTGGTGTGTCAAACAAAAAGAAATAAAAATGTATACTTAAAATATCAGATAGTCTACTTTACAATATGCTTGCCAAATTTCTGGTCTACATTGTTAGATAAGTAGGGCCATGAATGTTTGGGAACAGCCAGTATATTTTCAGAATAACCTGCCTAGTTGGCCAGTTAGTTTCTACCACTTTTTAAGTTCTGCCTTTTTTTTGTATCTTGAGGGTACTGTTTTTATATATTTATCACATCAACAAATATTACATGAACTTCAATTATTAAATGAACAGAAATCACAAGGCAGTTATTTTCTCTTTTTGTTTTACAGTAATAGTAAGAAAAAAATACATATCATTAGATGCAACAAAAGGTGTTAATTCAAGAATTGGGTAAGAGTTGTACAGGTTTGTTTTCCGTGTAAAAGGTGTGTTTTAAGGCTTTCCATCATAAAATTGGCTTAAATTCTCACTTTTTTACAATGGTGCTTTACATGGAATTAAAAAGATAAATTAACTCGTATTTGATCTGCAGATGAGAGTTGATATTATTTACAACTGCATTATTTCATAGATCAGAATTTGATTCAGCTGTTCTTATTTTTGGCTACAACCTAATATTACTAGAGATAACTTGCACCACTTCATTCACATTGTTTTGTGATTATAGTCTTTGTTCAACTTTTATCAGCCACTTGAAGTAACATTTCTAACAGTACTAATGATAAATAAAATATCTGTTTTGGTAAAAAGTATCGGTAATGATACTCATGTTGACTGGTCACATTGCTTATGATAAATAACATTTCTACCTTTGCCAAGAGTATCAGTAGCCATACTTGTAGTGTCTGATCATGGAGATAATGATAAATAACATTTCTGAATGTTTGTATGATGAAAACATGATGCTGAAATCATGCTTGTTCAAGTCTTAAAGAAATAATATATTCTTTGTTTTCTTAGTGAAATCTTCATAATTTTAAGGGTTTCTTTACAATAATTGAGCTTTAGGCAACTGGTGTTTAACTGGTTTGGGGAGGGGTATATTAGATTTATCGTGTAATAGATGAGTTTAAGAAATGAATTTTCATATAGCTTAAATAAATGTTTGTCATACTGACCATGAAGCATTGATTTATCAGTTGAGTCTACTCAAGGTAATATTAAGAAGAACTAGCATATTTATATGCATATACCCAATTATTTAGTTGATATGTAGAAAATAAATATCAGTTTGTATTTCTTCACAAGTTGACTTGAAAGAGGGTGGATATAAGACTTAATAATATACTTCTTATCACAAAAGGTGTATGAACTTTCTATTTCTGTTACATCACAAAATCTGTATAAAGTTCTATTTTGTCACAAAATTTTTAAACCATCTGTTATGTTAGAGAAACACTTGAAGCTAGTATTACTTCACCAAAGATATATACAGTTTTTGTTACTCAAAAAAGTGTATCAACTTTGTGTCTAATACTATATGACAAGAGATTAATAAAGTATATCGTGACATCACAAAAAATTTATAATCTCTCTCTTACATTTCAAGATATGTTTAAAATTTCATTTTACCATCACAAAATATGCAAATTGCTATTGTTGTGAAACAAACTTGAACACTGCTGATATTTTGTAGACATTGTCATATAAAAAAGTAGATATTGTTCTAATATTATGTTTTATTCATCTGCATTTTTGTCTGTTAATTATGATGAAATAAGAAAAATATGTCCAAAAAATGTCAGTAGTGTACACTAACACAACCCATATTTCTGATTTTTGGCAAGGGCAACTGTCTCGAGCTACTGCATGGAAAGAATTATAGTTGTTATTTACAGCTACACCATCCTGAGGTGTATGTTCCTTTGAAGTTGTTCCCAAAATTACATACAGACTTTGTAGAGAATTTAAAAAAATTGTGAGCCGAGGGTAATAGAATCACAATTATTAAAAAATTATTATTATTTTACAACTGCAAAACCTTACTTTCAGAAATAACTCAAGCTAAATCTCAAAACAACTAGGTCTTAGCTAAATAACTATCCAGTTATTTATTTTGTGGAAAACGGCAACCCTCTCCAATTTAAACATACTTATTTGCAAGCTACTGGTTTCTGTTAAAAATTTTAATGTTTCTAATTCCTACTGCTTTGCTCTTACAATTTTGGTAATCTAGTTAGACCTTTATAAACTAAACTGTGACTGATGAGGACTCCAACACTAGAGTTGAAAACTTGCACTAAATAAACCTTCAAACAACTTGTGGAAAACAGCTATGTGTTTTATTTCATTTAAATTATGGATTTAAAAAGGTATTTGAATTTATTCTTGTTGATCTTATGTTTAGAAAAAAGAAAAGACTTGCAAGCTCTACCTTTGATTCTTATTTATTTTATGCCTTGTATTTTTTACATTTTTTCAGATCTTGAATATCTTAGGCAAACAATTTGGGACAACTAAGAATAAAAAAGGTTATAAACTTCTCCCACCCTACATTCGTTTAATTCAGGGGGATGGTATCAGCTACAAAACTCTTGAACCAATACTTCAGAAGTTAAAAGAAAACCAGTGGAGTACAGATAATGTAATTTTTGGGAGTGGAGGTGCTCTCCTTCAGAAGCTAGACCGGGACACATTGAAGTGTGCTTATAAATGTAGCTTTGCTGTTGTGGATGGGAAAAAGGTGTGTGGTCTGTTAAAGTGTAAGAATTAACAATAACATGTTTTGATATCTTAACTTTTTCTATATTATGTTTTAGTTTCATTATCATCTTTTTTTTTTATTGATTGGCAATGAAATTAGGCTTAGCAATATAAAACAACAGAATAAGAAAAAACTATATTTCCGATATGGTACATTACCTCTTCTCACATGTATAGTTATTCTCGTTCAGTGCTGTCCTCTATATGCAAAACATTTTTTCCCATGCCACAAGCCTTGAACACCCTCATACCCCACAATCAATGTGGTTCAACTGCATCTCACATGTAAATCATCATGAAACAGCCCTCCACCAATAGGAGTGTGACACACCCTCCTGCAGCACATGACTCCCTCTGTTTGATTCTACTAAACTATCACTTCTTGTTAGGCAGTGATTGAGTGCACGTTTATCAGTTGTGTTATTTTAATTTTGGGGTAGGAAGTAGTGATTTACTTGATTTATTCACTTGCTACAGTTGTCTTTCTGTAGTAGTTTACTGCAATACCTTACCTTTGTTTATTGATTTTTTTCTTCTCATTTTCAACTTCTTCAAGAGGAATTCTGAAGTTTGTGTTTTACAACTTATGATATTTTTACCACCACTTCGAGTGCCATTACACAGGCTTCAGGGGTTCTCGACTAAGTATTTTTCAGCTATCAATTGTTGGGAGATTGATCATTATATAAGTTGTCCTTCTTCTTCCAACAATGTTTGGGTTCCTCCTGCATCATCCGAACCTGTTTCTGACTATGAGGATTTTGACAGCCTTTTTTCCTCTTTCTAACTGTGCCATGCCTTCCAGTGCTTCTCCTATGGAATCTACTAGGCCAAACTCTGCTTTTTCAATGTGCTTTCTCAGGTGTTTTCCATTTTCCTTTTTCACCGATTTCATATGATATTGTTCCTTTTTATTTTACATGACACCTATCCTCCATGGACTTCTGGTCATTATGCTTTGGCTTATCTTTCAGGCTGATCAACCCCTTCTCGAATCCTAGCAGTTGGAGTCACTTTTGCTAATATGGGAGGGGGGCTGTCCTTGAAAATCCTATCAGTTTCTCCCCCACCCAGTTTTCTGCCTTCATCTTATCCTTATCTCTCAGTGCTTGTTCAACAAACAACTCCATTCTGAGACACTCCACCAATCATCTGAGGGGTTTTGTGGAGATACCTTTTTGCTGCTTACCTCCACATTGGCACAATTGTCCTCTTTGGCCCAATCCCTTCACATGTGGTTTTGTTCCTGTTGTGACCTTATTTGGACAGGGGATGTCTCTTGTCACAGGTTCATCTATCTTCCACTTATCTTCTGGACTTACAGATGGCTCCTTTTCTTCATTGGTCTGTTTTTTGGAGTTTTTCCTGAGTCTTTGGAATCTCATGTGGAATCTGTGAGATCAAATTCGACCCTTTACTTTTTGATTGCTTGTTTTTCTTCTTCTGATCCTATGTTCTTTGCCTATTCCTATCATAAGGGGTTCGAAAATTTTGCCTTCTGTCTAGATATTGGGTTCATCATTGCCAGCAGTTACATTGACTATCAGGTTGTTTCCTGTCCAGTGGGGGCATGTTTGGCCAATTTTGTTGTTCCACTGTTGTGGGTATTCACTACTGATCCTTGGGTGATCCAAGTTTTGTCAGAAGGACTTTTCCTTTGTTTCCTTTCCCCACCACCACCACCACTGTCTCCTGTACTAATTTTCTTCCCATTAACTTGGGACCCCGCTCCGGTATGCATCTGTCTGAGGCTGTGCAGACTTCTATCACAAAGAGCTATCGAGCCTGTCAGCCAGCCTTCTCTGGGTTTTTATTCCAGGCTTTTTGTTGTCCCCAAAACAAATCAGGGGATTAACATCCTGTGATCCATCTGTCCTGCCTCAACCAATTTCTGGATCTTCCCCAATTTACTATGGAATCCCTTATCACACTCAGGTGGGCTTTTTCTCCAGAACTGTGATTGACCATGGTAGATATTTCAAATGCCTATCTTGATATTCCTGATTTTAATTAGTCCAAATGCTATCTTCAGTTTGTCCACTATGGGGTTGTGTATCAGTTTCTCACCTGGCCTTTTGGACTTGATTCAGCACTGTATGTATTTTATCAGGTGATCAAGGGCTTTGCTCGACTCGTGCTTTCCTCAAAGGTTGTGTATACACCATTACTGGACAATTTTGCTCCTGTTAGCTCATTCCAAACTGGAGTCTTCTCAACCCACACATTTGCTGCTGACAGAAGCAGATTGTTTGGTTGGATTCTCAAGTTGAAGAAGTTTTTCATTTTTGCCTATCCAATATCTTATTCACTTGGGTGTATTTTTCAACACCCACCTCATTTGGGCCCAACCTTTTCCACTTTGTCTCTATTTGATAGAGCTTTCAGTTCTCCATGCACTTACTGCTCTCTTTGTTTCTGCACACGAGGTTCTGTCACTTTTGTGGACTTGGGCTTCTATGGGAGCCCTTATTCCTTTGGGTTGGGCACTTATGCGTTCTCTTCGGTGGACTCTACGTGGCCAAGAGAAACTTGCTCTGAATTCCTTGGACTCACAAATTATCATTCCTCCTTCCCTTACAGACAATCTACATTGGTGGTTGAACAAGGAGAACACAGTAAGGGGAGTACCGCTTCCTCCACCTCATCCGAATTTGCATCTTCTCACAAATTATTCTCTCCAAGGTTGGAGAGTGTGGGCCCATCAGCAAGAGGCTTCAGGACGATGGTCTCAGATTGAAATGTCTTGCCATATCAACATCTAGGAGCTTCTGGCACTACACCGTGCTTTGGTTCATTTTCTTCCTCTGGTTCAGAACTGACACGTCATGCTCCATTCCATCTATTCCACTCTTGTGGCCTATATCAATCACTAAAAGGGCACCCATTCATGTTCATTTTGTGGTCGAACATTAGCACTCTTTTATTGGGCCCACACGCTGCAGATTAGTCTCCTTGTGGGTCTTGTTCACTTATCCGTTCAGACTTATTCTTACTCCTATTAGCTGTGGGTGTTGTCAGTGTGATATATTTGTCATCGATGTTTCGTATACTTTCTTTCATTCCACATATGTTCTCCTTTGTCAGGATCGATCTTTCCTACCTAAAATGTTGGCAGTTCATGAAGGACATTCTTCCTTCTTGCTGATTTCATTTCCATCCATTTTCCACCTTTATTCCCGGTCTGATCCAAATTGATTTCTGTGTCTAGTACGTGCTCTTTGTTGTTCCATTACCTGCATGGCCTCCTTTAGTGGTTCCTGTTCCCACCTTTTCATTCCCTGGCACCATTCATCTCTGTCTCTTTCTTCCCAAGTTCTGTTCCAGGTGTCGTTGCATCAAATCAGGCTGCTTACATTTTTCCGGGCATCTCACCTCCACCATCCATTGGATGAAATTCTTCAGTCTGGCATGTGGACTACAACTTGTGTGTTCATCTCCCACTATCTTCTTTGGGTAGCTATTTCTTCCTTGTCGGGGTACCACCTTCCACCATCCTTCAAACTGGGTAAGTTATCTTTTTTATGTATATTTCCTCCAGTGGCATGTCCCATTTAGGATCAGGATCCCATTCAGTGGCATACATTGCCTATCCAGGTATACCTTCTGTCTCTCAAATCTGCACTGTATGACCAAGATGTATATCCATGGCCAATAATGTATACTGTTGAGATGGGGCATTCCATAAGATCACTAGTAGGCTTTTTTTGTGATATATTTTCTTCATAAATATGCCCTTTCTGGACTGTACTAACCAACGGATGTACATGAGTAAAGCAATAGGAGATAGCTGACCATTCTTCAATTAAAAAAAATCAGGGACAGTCTGCTTTTCAAAATAGAACCATGTTTTGACATAATAAAAA